GCGTACTTCACATTTTGACAGGTCCACTGCTGTTGTTGTGCACTGGGGTTGCAACTCGAGTTGGGTTTTACGAAAGGCAAGAACCTGAAGTTCGCGGGGATCCGTACTTGGCGAAATGCCGTGGGAAAGAAACAGTTGTTTGTCAAACTCGCCTTTCCGTTCTTTCTTGAAGTTCGGATTCTAGCGGAGTTCACATTTTCACAGGTCCACTGCTGTGGTTGTACACTTGGGTGGCAACTCGAGTTGGGTTTTACGAAAGGCAAGAACCTGAAGTTCGTCGGGATCCGTACTTGGCGAAATGTCGTGGGAGAGAAACAGCTGTCTATCAAACTCGCCTTCCCCTCTTTCTTGAAGTTCGGATTCCAACGGACTTCACATTTTCACAGGTCCACCGCTGCGGTTGCCCGCTGGGGTTGCACCGTGTGTTGGGTCTTGCGGAAGGCGTGAACCGGAGGTCCACCGGGATCCGAGCTTGGCGAGATTACGTGGGAGAGACACAGATGTCTATCAAACTCGCCTTCCCGTGCTTTCTTGAAGTTCGGATCCCGACGGACTTCACGTTTTCACAGGTCCCCCGCTGTCGTGTGGTGGTTGCAAGGCATTCGTCGTTGGATGACCGACAAGGTTTGATGACCGACGAGGTTTGTCGTCCAGTGGCGTTCGATGTCTACCAACATTTCGATGCCCGCCGAGGTTTGATGGGGCGCTAGGTTCGATGCCAAACAAGGTTCGATGGCCAACAAGGTTCGATGGCCAGCAACGTTTGATGTGCAACAACGTCGTCACGAACTGTCTATTGTCCATTCCCGAACAGGGATCGACCTTTTTCACGGGTTTCTACCGTGTGGTGGACCAATTGCCCTGCGTGCTGTGTACGACCAATGGACGAGGAGGCAGGTCGAATGCAGTGCAATCGGGGCGAGAAAAGTGAACCGCTCGGCTGGCCTGTCGGTGCCCTGGTTGGCGACCGGCCGATCAATCACCTAATTGGCCAACCACAAACCGAAAAGTCGATCAATCAACTAATCAGTTACTTGTGCCAACGCTCTCCTGTCAACCAGTTTGCTGGATCGGTCGTACGCCTGCCGGTTGGGCGATCACGCAGAGGGTGATGCCACGGTTGCAGCGCAAACACACGTTCGGCTGTATGGTTGGTGGACTGCTGGATCAACTGGTCGTCTGACCGCAGTCCGAACAGTCGTTCAGCGATGTTGGTAGTGGTGGATCTATTGACCAGTCTACTGTTCACTCGGGGTACATCAACGAGTGTGATGGATCGGTCGCCCGCCGCCATGTTGGTCGTTCGCGCACGGTGCCACGTGTGTTTTGTTATTATATTTGATACTGGTGAAAAACACACACGCGGTGACAACGTTGAGACAGCACACGCGATCAATCGACCGATCGTGAGCTCTCTGTTCGTGTTCGACGATTGGTCGACTGGGTGCGTCTATTGTCCCGACAATGTCACCTCCTGCTTTGATTGATCATCCATTCGGCAGATCAGCGGCGGTATCGTGATCAATCGTGATGGTCCTGTTCATCACT